AAATTATTTTATGGCACAATTTAGAAATTAAATAAGTCACAATTTGTTCATCGGTCATAAATAAAAAATTTATACATTACAATTTATTTATCGGTTACAAATCACAAATATTATAAATCACGACTTAGTAGACAGTCATAAATTGTTAAATTATCGGTTACAAATTAAAATTTTTTAGGTCACACGTTATTTCTTGACCACAATTTATTTTTTTCATTGATCACATATAATTTATTAGTCACAGATTAACTAATTTAATGCTCACAATCAACCAAATAATTTGTGACCACAACCAACACATGTGACCACCACCGCATCACTACCTCCAGTAGCACTACCGCCACTTTCGTCGCTAGAACCACCTCACGACAGCAATACAACCACCTCAAACTAATCACACATCATCACGCCATTCCACCACCACAACGACAAACTCATCGTCGTCGCAACCACCACCACTATCGTTGTCGATGTCGCTGTCGCCACCAAAACCACAACCACTTTCAAAAATACTCCAGTAGCCAAAACCCCCCACTACAGCGCATACCCAGCCTACCTCATTAGTTGACCCATATTCAACATTGCATCTTCCTCCTCCAAACCCCACAGCAACTACCATTGCCGCCACCACAATCCCCAGTCGTGAACTACCACTGCCTCCCACTGACAGCCATCATCGTCAGCACCACCAATCCCTTCAAACCACAACATCGTCTTTTTCATTCCTCGTCACAGCCCTCACCACAACCAACATCATTGAACTGCCACCACCATGCGATGCTTTGCAGATCGCTACAGGGATGAAGCCATCGCAGCGACTATGCAATAGATTGATAGGGTACAAGTGAAGGCAGGCAGATCGTTGCCGGATGGCAATGCGTGATCTTGAGCACCGATGCTCCGGTGTCTTCTCGTTTGGCGACGACAATGAGGTAAAGAGAAGGGGAGGTAGAGTAGAGAGAGTGTGGGATAGAGAGAGGAAAGGAGAGAAAACGGGCGACAGTGGGGTAGAGTAGAGAGAGGGAGGGATAGAGAGAGAAAATAGAAAATGCTGAAGATGAAATAATTAGGGTTTTTGTTTGTATGGTTAGGTAGAATGAATATGTATATTTAATATTATAATATAATTATTAATAATTTAAAATTCTGGTATGATGTAATTTCCACACAAAAAATAGCACTAGGTAATAGTTTACTTGTATGTCAATTTTATTTCTTAAATCGAGAATGAAGGTTAAGTGTCCAAGTACTTTGGGCCTCTTATTTAGTCCTATTTTATTGTTTTGTTGTTACTTTTTAAAGGGCTAAATGATCAAATTCAAAGAAATATAAAAGAAAATTTTTATTAGGTTATTGGAATCCTTTTTTTTTTTAGGCCCTTCAGATCTTGAGACCCAAGGCAATAGCTTAGTTTGCCTTGGGCTAAGGCCGGGCCTGGATATTTATATTAATGTACTCATTATCTTTATTTTGTAATCTACATCTCTGGACTGTGTATGATTTTATTTTAGGGCAACTTACAAAAATACCCTTAAAATTAAAAGTCTTTTGAAAAATCATATTAAACGTATTTTGAAGGTAAAAAATAATGTGTAAAATCAATTATCACACAGTAAAAAAAAAGTGACACTGAAAAAGTGACTCATTGTTACTTTTTAAAGTTAAGTGTCACTTTTTTAATTAAAAATGACATACAATGTCACTTTTATTAAAAATTGATGTTCATCACTAAAAAAAAGTGATAGAAATCAAGAAGGTAGCTAAAAAAAGTGATAAACAATGAAAAAAGTGATAGACAATAAAAAAGTGACAAATTTTTTTAAAAAGTGACGAATTCNNNTCAAAAAAGTGATAAATTTTTAAAAAGTGATGAATTCAAAAAAGTGGCACAAATTAAAAGAAGTTATACAGATTTAAAAAGTGACAGACAATAAAAAAAGTGACAAACAATCAAAAAGTTACAAATTTTTTTAAAAAAGTGACAAACACTCAAAATGACGAAATTAAAAAAAAAATGACGTGAAATTATCTTCAACACTCAACGGGATCACCACCGCAGATGGCGGCGGCTACCTGTGTTTTCACCACCCTTCACACTGCCTCCTCCGTACCCTCATTACATGCTCTTCTTTCTCCACTACCACAGAATTTAACATCAAATTTGTCCCGTCCAAACCCAAACTCAAATCGGAATCCAAATTACGACAAACCCCTGCTCCGAACTCGAAATCTCCTAAATCATTGAGTTCAGAACTTGGAGACCAGCCATTCATCCCATGGATTGTCAGCAATTAGAAAGGGAGCCTCACTCTCCAAACCACGCCTCCCGCGTGCCTCATTCAGGCCATGGCCCATGCTAATACTCAAAAAAAGAAGAAAAAAGATAACAACAACAACAATAATAATAATAGCATCGATAACAATTCTAACAGACCAAGCAGCCAGCTTCGATGGCTGAACCGAAGTACTCCAAGGCGGCTCGAAGATTCTATAATGACAATTTCAGGGAGCAGCCACAACGGCTAGCGAAGGTGCTCGCACAATTTCATATAATTTGGTCACAAATTATAAGTTAATTGGTCACAAATTATTTTTAGGCCACAATAAAAAATTTTATAGCTCACAAATTATTTCACAATAACAAATCGAAAATTTTATAGGTCACAATTTTTTCATCGGTCACAAATTTATAAAATTAATAAATCACGTATTATTCATTGATCACGAATCACAAATTTTATATATCACAAATTATTTTAACGTCATAATTCAAAAAATTTATAAGTTACAATTTGTTCATCGGTCACAAAAACGTCACAATATATTTATAGGTCATAAGTCACAAATATTATAAGTCACAAATTATCAAATTATCGGTGACAAATTAACAATTTTTTAGGCCACACATTATTTTTTGGCCACAATTTATCTTTTTCATTAGTCATAATTTGTTTATTGGTCACAAATTATTCAATTTAATAGTCACAAACAATCAAATAATCTGTGACCACCACAACACTTGTGACTACCACCAACAACATGGCAACCGAAACCCCATCGCTGGACCACCACCACCTCCACCTCCACACCCATCCTACAACCAATAAAATCCTCAACCCTACCATCATCATCGTCGACCACCTCAAACAAATTTTCAACTTCAAATCCACCAACACCACCACATAGTCACCACAACCACCAACAAAACTGCCTCCCAAACCACTGCACCAACAAGATCCAACACTATCGCCTGAACACCATATCGCCTCCCAAAAATCAACAAAATCGTCGTCCAAAAATTAATAAAATCACCGCCCAACCATCGCTGCCCAAACACCAAATCGCAAGCAACAAAATCTGACAGCCTCCACCAACGCCACCACCACATAAACCGCTGCCTCGACTTTCCCTCAACAAACTGCCACATGTACCACGCCCCAACTGACTTGTACGGCTTCCACTTCTCACACAACTGCTCCATCTGTGAAGGCCTAGGCAAATCCTCCAAACTGTACAACAACTGCACACCTTTCCTAACCCCTAAATCACTCACATGCAACACATCCAGCCGGTACAGTGAAAATATCATGAACATGTGGACTCACCAGGAACCTATCCCTTTCACCATTGAAAGCATCGTGAACAGTGACATGTCATCCATTTTCACCACTGATTCATCTAACAGAATCCCGGAATTATACTTATTAGTGAGGTCATCTAAATAGCTAGCATTGCGCCCAGAAATCCCGATTTACTTGAGCTGTTGCGCAGAGAAGGTAGAGAGAGAGAGAGAGAGAGAGAGAGAGAGAGAAAGAGAGATGAGGAAAATTAAAATGAAATTGATTAGGGTTT